ATTTGAAAATTAACCATTATGATTGATTTACTTATCATAGAGGGTATTGGCAAAACCGGCTGGCGCCAGACAAGAAGACGGTGATTGACGCCTCGTTTGTAGAGAAATCTTACAAAACCTACAAATTCAGCTTTGATGGTACGACAAGCGACGGACGGCTTACTGTAGTGGGCCGGAGAAATACCGCCGCTCATTGGTCGCATCAGCGGCAAATGGGCTCGATTCCCCAAAATGATTTTGAGCGAGCTTTGACAGCCTTTGACCAGTGCGAGTACGACTTGTGTCTAGGGCGTGCTGTGATTGAGTCTGTAGCTAAACACTTCCAGTAGAAAAAGGTAATGCAGACCCAGATAGCGGGTCGGGCACATTATATTCACCTGCTGGACGTAGATGTGATAGCGGAGAAGCCGATTAATAATCTGGGAAATCGGCTGGTGACGAAGCACTAACCCGGCCTTCGGGGCTGAAACCCAACCATCAACTGCAGCAAAGTGAGTCAGTGCACCGAGGGGAAAGCGTTGCCGATAAATATGACGGGTGATATCCGATACGTTGGCCGTCCGAATTGAACAGCGGTTTCTTCGTCGACGTTGATGAATCCACTCTTCCCCGGACGGATCAAGTACTAGCAATTGTCGCCAACGGCAAGCGGCTGGGAAGTTCTGATGGAGTTTGAGGAGACTGGAGACTGTTGTAAAAGTGACAGTAGGGTGTAGCAGATCGACGGACAGTCGGTAATCGTAGAGGAGACTCGTGCGCTGATTATCAGAAGTTGGAATGAGCTTCTGTATTAAGAGCTTACAAGGGACGCATACGATACCTACAACAAGCAAGGCGAAAAAGCCAAAACCATGATTAGCTCAAGTGAGCCATAGCTTCCTTCGTATGAGCAAGTGAATGTTCAACTCGATGAGAGCCAGCCACATCGATTTCAAGCTGGTCTGGCGTAATCGAGTACAAGAAGGTACCAAAATTACCTTTGATAAGTTCTAAAGACGTGTCGAAAGCTCGTTGCTGCCGACGCAGGATGATATAAGTCTTAGTTCACACCAAACGATTTACATGGAGTACTCACTACGCCTTCTTCCATCTGCTAACTTTAATTCTGGCACAAAATATTGCAAGTGAAGACGCCAAACCACTGCGTAACGTCAATGTTCATCGCTGCGACCGTCTCGGTATATTGGCTGAATTTAAATTGACGTCGGGCATCAGTGTAGCATCGGCTGTATCGCTGAGACTCACGTCTCGAACCAAGATAAATAAAGTATGGAGCACAATTACTGGTATCACTATAACGGGGTACGTAGCCCCAAGTGTAACTCTAGTTACATGGAGTATGACACGTCACACTTCGAGATATCTGGTACATGGTACCAGGGTCGTCAGAGGCCAACCATTAACTGATGACATTGCTTTACTATAGGTGACTTATAGTTTGTAAATCTAACTCGAGCTTAGCCTACCTATAAATACATTCAGCTTACAACTTACCTTAAACTGCTCACTTCGCTCTCTTAGACAAAAGGGACCTGTGAAGTACTGTTCACTGAGAGTTTGTAGACTTTCGGAGGCCAACCTTCTCTAGCGCAACGTGTTGTGTGACCCCGTCACGAGCACAAATGGCCTAAACTTCATGCCCCACATTTCTGCAGCTGCAGAGTCATCATAGCACACCATGATAAACGTACTACTCGTTCTGTTCGAATATCTCATCCGCAGTCATGTCCGCAGGGGGGGGGGGGTACTTTTAAAATCGTGCCTCTTTTAGAATTTGAAAAGGGGAGTGCCGATCATACTGATTTTTTGTATGTGAACTAAGATTGGGCACCCAGCGTAATATCTAATAGCAACTTTGAAAGGTCCCCCCTGGTAGAATTTCCTTCGTTTTAAATTAAGAACTTCAAAATAATGTTTTTTTCTTCTGAACGCTGTACCCCTGCGGACATGGCTGCTGAGCAGGCCCTGCTTTTTCGAAAAACACGTAGCCGAAGTCCGTTACTGGACCATCACTGGTATACGCATAATAAAACACTTAAATTTCCAGCTCTAATTTTTACAGATGAACCCCTCGGTAGTAATCCCAGCTCAAAGAATTCCCCCCGACAAGAATGAAATATCGTTTAGAAAGAGCACACACCGTTTGGCCATAGCCGGGACGAAACGACATTTTTTAGATCGGTCCTGGCTTTAGCCGGATGACGCGCTTCGTAGGACCAATGGCAATTATTTGGTATCGGTGACAGAGTACGCATCGCGGGGAGTCACGCATTCCTCTCGCCGATTGCGGTTTCGATGGTCTCCGCACTATTTTAAAATGGGTGCAGGCTCCATTCTGTGAGATAGAGTTCCCATGACCGTTATTTCAGCCACCCTACCACCACATCCGCTGTTTATCTGACCCCACCCGCACTAAAACTGTTGATGCATCTTTGTCTTGCGGTAAGTTTCAAAGCCATCTGCTGGTTAGTCGTTAAGACTAGAAGAAAGCGAACGGGATAGTCCAGGTACGTCTCTGGCGGCTTGTCAGTTCACAAATTGTCTGAGCCTGCTCACGGCCTCATCTAAATGATGCTCGGAGATAATTCGCCACTCACTCGGCTCGCCGTTGCGGCAACTGCAGCTGTCGCATTCAGTGCATTTGTAGTGTCCGCCCAAGAATCGACCGTCACCTGCGAAGTTTCCCAGTACCTTGACTCCGCCACCAATGAGTGTGTCGACTACTCTTCGCGAGGTGCAAAGGCTGGTAACGCGTATGACACGACAATTGACTCCGGCAACACGGCGTGGATGCTAATGTCAAGTGCATTGGTGATGCTCATGACCCCGGGTGTTGCCTTCTTCTACGCCGGTTTGGCTGGCGAAGACATGGCGTCGAATACCATGATGATGTCGTTCGTGAGCATGGCGATGGTGTCGATCCAGTTCTTCGCCTTCGGTTACTCAGCGTGCTTCAGTTCCGACGGTATATTCGCCTGGGCGGGGTACAACAATGTTGGCGCCGTCGCTAGTGGAACGTATGGTGGCAGTATCCCTCACATCCTCTTCGCCTTCTTCCAGACGCAGTTTGCCACAATCACACCAGCGCTGATCAGCGGCGGAATTGTCGGCCGCATGAAGTTTGGTAGCTACCTGCTTTTCATCCTGCTGTGGACGTCCATCGTATACGACCCTCTGGCTCGTTGGATGTGGTCGCTCAAGCTCGATGAAAACTGGGAGATCACTGCAATGGGCTGGGAAGGCAAGATGGGTGCGCTCGATTTCGCTGGTGGTACAGTCATTCACGTCTCCAGTGGGTTTGGTGCCCTTGTGGCCGCCATTGTGGTGGGGAAGCGATACAACCACGGCGAGCCTGTGAAGCCGCACAACGTACCCTTGGTGATGATCGGTGCCACGCTGCTATGGTTCGGCTGGTTTGGATTCAACGCCGGATCTCAGGGGGCGGCTGACGGCGTTGCTGCGATTGCTGCTATCAACACGCATCTAGCGCCATGTGCTGGATTTTTGACCTGGTCAGCTCTTGAGTTCGCTTTCCACAAGAACTTTGATCCTTGCGGTGCCATCAGTGGAGCAGTTGCTGGACTTGTGGCCATCACCCCAGGCTGTGCCTTTGTGTACCCGTGGGCTGCTGTCATCTTTGGCGTCGTCGGTTCTGCGACTGGTTTCGGTGCTGTCCACCTCAAGAACGTTCTGCGTTATGATGATACTCTCGACTCCTTCGGTATCCACGGCTGCGGCGGCTTCATGGGCGGTCTGCTTACGGGTCTATTCGCCACCTCCGAGATAAACCCGTCTATTGAAGGCGGTGCATTTTACGGCCACGGAATGCAGTTCGTACACCAACTCGTTTCACAGTGTGTGGCAGCTGCGTACTCGGCAGTGGTGACGTTCCTCATCCTAATGGCGCTTAAGTACACGGTGGGTCTTCGCGTCTCGGAGGAGAAAGAAGTAAACGGCATGGATATTTCGTACCACGGTGGCCAGGCTTACGACTACAGTGCACATGGCGGGCTTAGCTCTCCTACTGTTAAGGCGGCTAACCCTCCCGTTGGCGACTTCATGAGCATGATGACTTCTGGCCAGCCCAGTGGAAATGGAGCTAACCATATTGCGAATGAACTTTAAACTGGTTTTATCGGCAGTGAGACGCGCTGGATCGCCCCTCCAACCTGTAATGATACGTGAATATATTTCAACCACATATACCTTCATGGCATGCCCACCGTATATGTTCTATCTTGACGACGAACGCCATGCCGAAAATACGAGTGCAATAACGTAATTTACAGTAAATGGTTTGTTAGCTTACCTTAAAAACAAAAAAAATAATAGAAGAGAAAATTTGGTATCAACGTCCTCCACAATTGGGGAATTTAAATAAGAGAAGTACAGGCTCAAATTATGTGTTAATTGGCACGGATTTAATCTCTAATGCATTAGAGCACTCTTCATATTTTTAGCAGGGCATAGCACTAAGCTTTACTGAAGACAAATCTTTCCAATAGTATGCTTTTTAATATCCATATTTCTTCAATAAGTTTCCGTTAAACTAATTATTTATTATTGATAATCTGATATTTTTTGGGTTTTATTTTATGCTATCTCTTATAAATTGCCTTTCTTTTTGGCATCAAATATTTTCCTTTAATTTAATACCATAGGTAATAGTATTATATATTTTTTTGCAATAAGAAGTACCAAATTCAGCGATGAGCGACGAGTATTCTCAACAGAGCAAATCAGTAGTTTAACAGAATGGTTGTTGTTTTAAGGAGCAGATACCATTACATGTGTCAGAGCAGGTATTAGGTACTAGAGCTGCTACTGGTAGTGCGTTGAAGTACGATCATAGAGCGGAGTCATTGCCGAGCACCCAGCAGCGTGGAAGTTTGGATTACATTATTACCCACCGCACTGAAGAGACACCGGAAGAAGAAGTTTTCGTGCAGTATAACTGCAGTGCGAAAGAGACAAGAGCAACGGCGCCTACAGAAAAATGAGCGTGAGCGAATGCTGTGCTATAAGAAACAAGACCGTGATGTTCTTCAATAAAGGAGTGAGTCGGTGGATCCCCGCACTCAGCGCAGACACTCTTCGTGGTCTATGGTCCTGAATTTCTACTACTACGTCAACGAGGACCCAACCACGTTGTTTATGTAAGGTCCATCTTCAAAATGACAAAACCTGGTGTGAGAGATAAAAGTTTTCGAGAAAACCATATTTTGTCACAATAAGTAATTTTTGTCATGTTTCCTCGACGAAGCAGATACCGCTCCAACTACTTTTACCTTATTGGTCAGCCACTTCAACATCAGAGACGGCTACACATTTTTGATGGTCGAGGATGCAGGAGGGACACCAACGCGTACAACAAAATGAGCTCTTGTTTGGATTCAGCGGCTTCTACACAGCGTTGAGTAATCCTATATACATGACAGCTACTACAACGACACGTAAGGCGCGTATCTCGTGCAAGTTAGATCTCGGCGCATCGTCCAAGTGTGGTTGGCTGCAACGAATGGCGATCCACAAGTGCAGATTCATCAGCTTCGGTAACCCAAGGGTCCGGGTATTTACGCGCGCAAGTGGCGGTAGGCGCCAGGCTTGGAGTATCCTCCGTAAGCCTTGCCGGCAGAGTTTCCACCCACACCTGCGTTCAGTCCCGCACCAGCGCTAAGACCTGCACCAGCGTTGAGGCCCGCTCCAGCCTTGAGACCGGCACCGACGTTGAGTCCCGCTCCAGCCTTGACTCCTGCACCTGCGTTGATTCCCGCTCCAGCGTTGAGACCGGCACCGGCATTCAGTCCCTCTCTAGCGTTGAGACCGGCACCGGCGTTGATTCCCGCACCAGTCTTGACTCCTGCACCTGCGTTGAGTCCCGCCCCAGCGTTGAGTCCCGCTCCAGCCTTGGGTCCCGCACCGGCGTTGAGTCCGGCACCGGCATTCAGTCCCGCTACAGCCTTGAGACCGGCACCGGCGTTGAGTCCGGCACCGGCATTCAGTCCCGCTCCAGCGTTGAGACCAGCACCAGCGTTTAAGCCAGCACCCGCATTGAGTCCGACGCCAGCTCTGCCGTAGCCTCTGGCACCCACACCTGCGCCAGCTTGAAGCCCCGCGGCGGCGTTGATACCCACCGCCGCGCCGCCGTACCCGACACGCTTGCCATAGTCGTCGTTGTTGCGATAGCCATTCTGCTTGCCATACGCCCCACGCGTATCGTAGCTATCGAGCGAGTCATCACTGTCTTGTTGGCCATACCCGTCTCGCTTGCCGTACCCGTTGTTCTTGCCGTAGACGTTCCGATTGCCGTATGCGTCGCGCTTGTCGTAGCCGTCGTTCTTGCCATACCCGTCGTGGTTCTGGTGCAGACGCCCGTACGTCTGCGCCACCTCGATAGACGCGTCCACTGCACTAGCCGAGAGCGCCACAGCCGCCGCACACAGCGCACAGATTGTCTTGCTGAACATCATCTTGCTTGACTTGGAATTGCTTGATTGGAAGCGTGTTGGCCCACAGACGCTGAATCAGGACGTCAGAAATTGAAGAATGAGCTCACTTGCATTTTGCTCCGATCGATGCAGCGAAGGACTGAAGTTGGCGTGATATCCTCTTGCGCAACGAACAGCTTGACAACCGCTCGACTAGCCCGCTCGCTGGGTGTTTGCAAGTCGACGGGTAGTTAGGAACAGATGGCTGAGTCGCCGCATAAGAACTCGCTGCGGTGGTAGTAATCCTGTCGACAAGGTAACCCTCCGATGGCAGGGTCACCTGCGGTTGTGTTTCTAACCTGCAGTGCGATTATTAAAATACATTCACGTATCTTGCGTTGAGTACTGTTGCTGCTCGTTGCTGAAACAGACACGGTTAAACATATATTTGTTGGAGGGGGCATTGATGCGCCATGTGATGGTAAATAAATCTCGGCTCTACAGTCATCGCAAACGGTAGAACACCGGTGGTATCCAAATGCCACGTACACTTGTACTAGCTATTCAATATTTGTTTTGCTGGGGAGCTCGCAGGACACCATGGAAATGATGTACACTATTTAAAGCGATATAGGGTATCGGAAGGTGGTCAACAATCCTGGGAGGGGAGTAGTGTCATCATATATCTCGCGGACGTTTGAAGGCATTTCAATCCTAGACTGCCCTTTTTTCAGAATTCAGACTCGTTTGACTTGGGATCTGAAAGGGGGCACCTCCATTGACAGTTGTAGAATCTCCTTAGCTCTTTCTGATAACTTACATAAGTCAGATTATCTGACCCATAATACGACAAATAATGTTGTAAACATGCTTCCCCTCTTTCCCTCGTGCGTACTCTCTCTTTCTCTCTCTCTCCCGTAGAATCTTGGACCGCGTCAAGCTGACGCTGGTTCTGTTGACCACCAAATCGTTCCCGTGGACGCCAATACCATACAGTCTCTCTAGCAGCCACCATGAAACTCTTAGCAAAATGAACCCGGGTTCCCGCAAGCAAACCCGAGGTCAAGCATAATTTTATATTTAATTTCAAGCACAGGTAACTAGATCGAAATTTGGTCGCTCCGAGTACATATCACTGTACGCAGTTTATCACAAGAAACGAACCTTTTATAATATCTAGGCATTATGTGAAAAATCCAATCCAGATGAAAATCCAATTCAGTACAGCGAGAGCCCACTATAAGTTAAACCCTCTTTAGTCTGGCACAGGACAACGTCTTTCGAAATGCAAATCAGGCTTCAATAAGAGGCCACTTCCTCCGTCTTTGAATATGCAAAAATATCATTTTCAAGACATACTTGAAGTATCGAATACCGGTAAATATTTTTTCTTGATAAGTATGCTAGTGTGAATGCCCGCAGTTCTAATTGTCTCGAGTACACGTGTAGTCTTCGTGCTCTACTCGATCTAAAGCAATAAATAGTATGCAAGCCGTTTTACCTCGACGAAGCAGATACCGCTCCAACTACTTTTACCTTATTGGTCAGCCACTTCAACATCAGAGACGGCTACACATTTTTGATGGTCGAGGATGCAGGAGGGACACCAACGCGTACAACAAAATAAGCTCTTGTTTGGATTCAGCGGCTTCTACACAGCGTGGAGTAATCCTATATACATGACAGCTACTACGACGACACGTATCTCGTGCAAGTTAGATCTCGGCGCATCGTCCGAGTGTGGTTGGCTGCAACGAATGGCGATCCACAAGTGCAGATTCATCAGCTTCGGTAACCCAAGGGTCCGGGTATTTACGCGCGCAAGTGGCGGTAGGCGCCAGGCTTGGAGTATCCTCCGTAAGCCTTGCCGGCAGAGTTTCCACCCACACCTGCGTTCAGTCCCGCGCCAGCGCTAAGACCTGCACCAGCGTTGAGGCCCGCTCCAGCCTTGAGACCGGCACCTGCGTTGATTCCCGCTCCAGCGTTGAGACCGGCACCGGCATTCAGTCCCGCTCTAGCGTTGAGACCGGCACCGGCGTTGATTCCCGCACCAGTCTTGACTCCCTGCACCTGCGTTGAGTCCCGCCCCAGCGTTGAGAGCTGCACCGGCGTTGAGTCCCCCTCCAGCCTTGAGACCGGCGCCTGCGTTGAGTCCCACTCCAGCGTTGACACCGGCACCGGCGTTGAGTCCGGCACCGGCATTCAGTCCCGCTCCAGCGTTGAGACCAGCACCAGCGTTTAAGCCAGCACCCGCATTGAGTCCGACGCCAGCTCTGCCGTAGCCTCTGGCACCCACACCTGCGCCAGCTTGAAGCCCCGCGGCGGCGATGATACCCACCGCCGCGCCGCCGTACCCGTCACGCCTGTCATAGTCGTCGTTGTTGCGATAGCCATTCTGTTTGCCATACGCCCCACGCGTGTCGTAGCTATCGAGCGAGTCATCACTGTCTTGTTGGCCATACCCGTCTCGCTTGCCGTACCCGTTGTTCTTGCCGTAGACGTTCCGATTGCCGTATGCGTCGCGCTTGTCGTAGCCGTCGTTCTTGCCATACCCGTCGTGGTTCTGGTGCAGACGCCCGTACGTCTGCGCCACCTCGGTAGACGCGTCCACTGCACTAGCCGAGAGCGCCACAGCCGCCGCACACAGCGCACAGATTGTCTTGCTGAACATCATCTTGCTCGACTTGGAATTGCTTG